ATAGAATTAGACTCTATTCAAGAGAGTCTATTCTATTGGCTTTCAAAAGCCAATAGAATAAAAGGGAGTAGCACAGCTAAGGAAAAGGGGGAAAAAATGGCGGACTGCGTTGTTTGGCGACCCCCGTGAAATGGCCGTTCGACCCCAAATGGGGTCCCAACCCACATATTGAGAACCACTGGTATAGGGTCTCCCGCTTGAGCAGGGGGCTGGACTAGAAGACCTCCAAAGTCCCTCCCAGCTTTATTCTGATTGATTGATTGATCCCATGAATTAAAAAAAGAGAGATTTGGGCCAAAATGAAGTGAGAAAAAAGTAAGACCTTCTATCTCCTTTCAGAACAGGGGTCCCCTACCCCCAGTCCACTACAGGGCTGCAGCCTGTTTGAAACCAATCTGTGGAAGAAATGGGCAAGCACGCACATGAAGCACCACTCATGTGAACAGCAGGCAAGCGCGCAGAAGCGCACAAAGTTCCACTCCATTTGTGTGAATGGAGCTTCATGCACGAGCGTCCTCCCTTCGTGCAAGTGGAGCTTCGCGTGCAAGCACAAGTGCTCTCTGCTCAAGTGCCCTCCGCACACATGAGTGGAGCTCTATGCACCAGCGCCACATACCTTCAGCTCACACGCAAGCTCTATTCACGCAAGCGGAAGGCGCAAGCACACCAGCCACACAAATGGAGCTATGCATGTGCACATGTGCCTGCTACTCTCTCTCACACACACACACACATATATACGTGCTGGACCAGGCTGCCAAGCTGGAAAGGTTGGGGACCGCCATTTAAAAATATGTTTTAGAGCTGTGGTAACGCAGTGGTTGGAATGCAGTACTGCAGGCTGACTCTACCCACTGCCAGCAGTTCGATCCTGACCGGCTCAAGGTTGACTCAGCCTTCCATCCTTCCAAGGTCGGTAAAATGAGGACCCAGATTGTTGGGGGCGATAGGCTGACTCTGTAAACTGCTTAGAGAGGGATGTAAAGCGGTATATAAGCCTAAGTACTGTGAAGCGGTATATAAGTCTAAGTACTATTTCTATTGACTCAGCCTTCTGTCCTTCCGTGGTTGGTAAAATGAGGACCCAGATTGTTGGGGGCAACAGGCTGACTCTGTAAACCGCTTAGAGCGGGATGTAAGGCACTGTGAAGCGGTATATAAGTCTAAGGGCTATAATCAACCGACTTTGCCTTGGTATTCATTTGGGTTGCTGTTGAATTAAACCATCTTGAACAGCCTGTAAGGAAACAAACAGAGATTCCTAAATGCTTCCTGCAGGGACGAAACTTCCTCAGTCACAAACTTATTATCTAAGGAATGCCTTAGGAGGAGAATCAGTTGTGGGCGCCCTCACAAAATGGCCTTCCTGGGGGGGAGGGGGCGATAAGCACTTAGAAAGCTCAGCTTTCCTAAAATCTTTCCGGACACTTGTCCTAATGTCTTCAGTTTCCCTGGCTCCTTAGTCGGTAAAAATACAGGTAATGCCCAACTTGCAATCACAACGGGAAGTGGAATTTCAGTCGCTAAATGATGCAGCCGTTAAACGAGCCATCGTGTAACCCAAGAGGCAATTTTTACTACACTGCAGGTCCTCATTAAGCGAATCACACTCTTGCTATGTGAATCCGACTTGTCAGAAGCTGGCCAGCATGTCGCAAAATCGTGATCGCGTGACTGCAAGATACGGCATCCGTCGTAAACGCGAGCCAGAAGCCGAGTGCCCAAATTGCGATCCTGTAACCACAGCGTGTGTGTGTGTGTGTGCGTGCGCGCAATGGTCACGATGTCACACTTGGGTCGTAAGTCACTTTTCCCCAAGGCCATCACCCCTTTGAACCACTGTTAAATGCACGTCGTGCCTGGAGGACTACCTACGATTCTGAACAAAGAGCTGGTCTGCAATCCTTCCCCCCCCCTCACCCCCCCACAGGTATTCTGATTTTATAGAAAAGTTTATGAGATCATGTGATGCCAGAGGATGGCGTTCTGCTTTACCACGGTGCCAGCTTCTCTGTTGTTTCTTAAGATGAAAAAAAAATATTTGTCGGACAAATGTAAAAACAAAAACCCCAAAACATAATAATATGATTTTTGGCTCAGGCTGAGCAAGCATCTTGGGATGTGGCTACTCATCCTGCCTTCCCCCAAATCCTGGGATGCTATCTGTCCCTTGGAGGCAGGAAGTTAAAGGATGTTCATAAAAGAAGAGGCAGTCAAGCTATTCTCCAAAGCGCCTGAAGGCAGGACAAGAAGCAACGGATGGGAAAAAAAATCAAGGAGAGAAGCAACCTAGAACTAAGGAGAAACTTCCTGACAGTGAGAACAATTAACCAATGGAACAACCTGCCTCCAGAGGCGGTGAATGCTCCAACATTTAAGAAGAGACTGGACAGCCATTTGTCCTGAAAGGGTATAGCAGGAGTGTCAAACTCACAATGTCACATGACGTGTCGTCACATATCACGATTTTTTGGCCATTGCCGGCAATGGGGTGGGCGTGCTTTTGCTATGATGCATCTGGCCCGTGGGCCGGCAGTTTGACACCCCTAGGATATAGGGTTTCCTGCCCGAGCAGGGGGCTGGACTAGATGACCTCCAAGGTCCCTTCAAACTTTATTATTATTATAAAGTTTAAAAGTGCAAACCATCAAGCAAATATATGCACCTACGCTGCATTTTTAGTTCCTACCCGTACAATCTTCACAGCAGGCAATGTTACAGCACAGCTTTTATTCACTTTGGTGTGTGTGGGGGGAAATTTCTCCAAATTTGTGTGTGAGAGGGTTTGTTTTTTTCCACCCCTTCTACAATAAATGCAATCCTTCCTTTCTTTCCCCATCAAACCTGGAGCACCCACCATTCTCATATACATTCTACATTCATCACTCTCCCCTTTCCATCCAGACCTTCAAGTCATTACAGATTATTGCCGAGAATGGTGTCTTCCCAGCATGAATGAGCCCCTGATCCATTTGCTGAAGTTGATAACTGAATCCACACCATAAAAAAAAAAAACAGCCCCCAAAACATTTGCATTGCATATCAACTCTAATCAGAAGGGGCAATGCTCAGATTTAAAAGTACTTTTGGAGCACAATTTACGAAGCAGTGTTCCCAACACTTTTTCATACATCAGAACAAAGGGTCTTGCAATTCCTACTCAGCTAATCCTTTGCATATGTGCTAAGAAATAAATAAACCAGGATCAGTCCTGGTTAAAACCACAGATCAAAGTTAAAGCAAAGAAACAAACCGAAAGACAATCCTTGCCAAATTTAGAAAGAGAGAAATATTCATAAAGTCAAGAGCCTGCCTCCTAGTTAAAACTGCAAACATTGTTAAAACTGCAAACATTGGAAAAAGTAGGAAACTCATTTCATTAATCGCACAACTAAACAGAGCAAAAACATTTTGAAATCTCACTTCAGTTTCTGCATTTCAAGTTCAGCATTTCTCCATATTCGGTTTAGAGCAGGCTGCTGTCAAAGACACTGAAGTAACATCATAGATGGATCAGAATATTAAAATTAAGGCGAAGATTCAGAATGTATTATATTATGAATACTTGGGAGGGAAGTATATTCACGACTGTGAACAGGTGTATCCAAACAAAGTCCAAATTTGTTGGGATATTATGATTAACAAAGTAGATTATGAGAAGTAAATTTCCTCCTTCACTAATTCAGATCTTCTAGTGTCTAACATTAAAATGCAAGCATAACCAGAAGGAAAGCAAAGAGGAGAGACACCATTATCATTTATATTTTAATATATTATCATGTAATTATAGTCCACTTGCCAGAAGGGTTCAGATGCTCTACTTTGGCTAATCTGAGACACAAAAGAAACAGGATCTATTTCACCCCAGTGAGATCCTCTATAATATTCCAGAAATAAATGGAGATTGGGAGAAGCAGATCCCTTTGTTTGAAAGACTGGGACAAAATTTGCGCAAAGGGGAAAAAAAACAAGCTACCATCGCTACTTCCAAGAATGAAATCCAACCTTTGTGTTAAATCTTTAACTCCTCGCAATCCGAGCCAGGCTGAACAAATTTAAAAACAATAATTTTAACCTAACAGGGGAAAGAAGAAGAAGAATGGCTAGTTTATACAAGTTATCATCCCAAATCGGATGCTCGTTTGTTTGCTGAGTTCTTTTTAATGAATTGAACCAGATTGCCACTCCCAAAGACCGCAAGTTTTTGGGTTTGGTTTTTTTTTTTTTTCTACAACACCCCAATTCTGATTTATTCCTATAAACATCAGGACGCTTTGGCAAACAATGCCAGATGGAAGCGAAGCAGATAATGGATTTTTTTTTTTTTTTTTTCTGTTTGCCTTAGAAACAAAAAACAGCTGCTGGTAGCATCATCTGCCTGGCCAGCCAATAACTTTTCTTCTTGTCGGCTTCCATCAACCTGAAGCCAATTTAATCCCATAATGGCAAGGGAGAAAAGAGAGAGAGAGAGAGAAAAGAGGAATATGTAGATAAAAGTTGTTTTGAAAGCCAGGAACTCACTCTTAATTTCTCCTACTTTTTTTTTTTTTTTTTTTTTTTTGAATGCACTTTGCTGGAAAATGACGAATTTATAAGGCGAGCATTTTGTTTGCAAACTGTGTCCTTGGAGAGCCTAAGCCGAGTAGAAATTAAGCCTTTAAAAGAAAAAAAAAGACTGTCTATCCTAAACTAAGTTCCTTGGAATCACTCAGAGTGGGTGAGCTATGGAGGAGCAAAGGGCAAGCTGCCCCCCACCCACGAAAAAATATATATATGGAAAAATCCACGCAGGGTACCGCCTGCTCCGGACGTTTCTTTCCTCGGCGCACTTGACTTCTTCAAAGTTCGCCGAACTTCTCTCCGCGTGGGAATTTCTCTCCGCGTGGGAATTTAGCCCCGTGGGATCGGCTGAGAAATCCTAAGCCTGTCTCCGCGGCTCCCGGGTGCCCCCCAACACACACACACACACACACACACACACACACACACACACATCTTACCTTCGCACACGACGGCCAAACTCAGGGCCCACCTGGCGAACGGCATCTTCCCCGAGTGGCTGTAATCCGGCGGCGTTTTGCGCGGAAAGACCCGGGTCCAGTCAAATGGGGGGGGGGAAAAACTCGCGTGGCGGTGCCGTTTCCTTCTGCCCGGTCCTAGAGAGCCCACTTGGGGAGGGCGCTTCAATCCGGACGCCCCATACTCGGAGCGAGCTGAAACACGCGTCCGGCTGTTCGCTGGCGACGCGAGGGGGTCGTGAGAACGGCGAGGAAAGGAGAAAGGGGTGGTGGTGGCAAGGAGCAGCCACCTGCCGCCAAGTGGAGAAGCGGTGCAACCTCTGCGTGGAATCGCCCGCCTCGGACACGCGAGGCAGCCCAGCCAGCTAGCGAGCCAGCCAGCTGGGAAAAGAAGCGAGAAGCGAGGCGTGCGGCTGGCTGCCCGGCACGGCGACCCGGCTTGAGCGCTGCGCTCCGCCCGGCTGCCGCCTGGGGCGCTCCGGTGCAAAGCCGGACGCGGTGTGGCTGCTGCGGCTGCTTGATGCTGATTGCAGATTTGCGGATGCTGATGCTGGGGCGGACAGGGCGACGAATGTCTAAGGACGCTCCTCTCGCCTCCTCCCCGCAGGGAGGGAAGCGAGGCTCCCGGCTGGGTGCTGGGAGGGGGAGGGCGCCGGCTTGCAACTCAGGGGCTCTCTGTGGTCCCGGTGGGGGGCTGGGGGGGGAAAGGAGGGGTGCTTGGTTAAAGGGGAAAATGGAAGGGCGGTGTTATGTCCCGAGCCTTGCAAACGGCTCGGGCGTTTGCAGGCAGTCCCGGGCAGGTGCAAAGCTGCCCGGGACCAGACAGGCTGTCGCCAGCGCCGTGCGCATGCGCGGGTGCTGGCGCGGGAAAAGTAACCCATTTACCCGGGAGTTGCCTATATAAGAGGCTGTGAGGCGTTTGGGCTGAGCTGAAGCCATCTTCATGTAAGCTGAACGCTGAATAAAAGAACCTGAGAACTCCAGCTGTTTCTCGTGTCTGTTTTCCCGCCAAGGACGCAACACTGGCGACGAAGGTGGGATGCCTTGCACTACCTGGAAAGGAAAAAGTGTAAGCTTACCCAAGGAGTCCTGAGCGGCGGAAGAGGAACGGTGTTGACTCAGCAGCTGCCCGCCAATCCAGTGCGCATTCGGGGGTAGGCTGGCTGATAGACCCGTCTCCTGAAGATCCGAAGATGGCGAAAATCGGAAGGCTTGCGGAATTCGACGTCTCACATCCAGAGCGGTGGGAGTCCTACGTATCCAGAATGGAGAACTACTTCAAGGCAAACCAAGTGAGGGAAGATAGCTTGAAGGCTGCCACCCTGCTTTGCGCTTGCGGCCAAGACGCCTTCGAAATCGCAGAAAACCTTGCAGCACCGGTTCCAGTAGAGTCTGTAAGCTACGCAGACCTGAAGAAGCTGCTGAAGGACCACTTCCACCCCAAGGTGTCCGTTATCTCATGGCGCCACACCTTCGAGCAGCGGGATCAACGGTCCGGGGAGTCAGCCAAGGAATACATCGCCGCGTTACGGAAGGCCGCCAAGCCCTGCGAGTTCAAGGACCTCGAGGAACGACTGAGGGACCGATTCGTGTGCGGGTTGAGGCATCGAGAGCTACAACAGAGACTTTTCGATAAGGAAGAATTATCCTTCCAAGACGCTTTAAGGGAAGCCACCGCGGAAGAAGCAGCAGGCGGCGCCGTCAAGAACATGCGGCCGATCAGAAGCAGTGCAGAGGGTGCGTCCGTGCACCAAGAAGACGTCCGACGAAACTCCGAGGAGGATCCGGACGAAGAAGTCGACCGTCTACACCCCGCGAAGGGAGAAAATCAGAAGGAAAGCTCTTCAGCTCCGCTCAAGTGCATCGGCTGTGGAGGTCGCCACAGGAGAACAGACTGCAAGTTCCGCTCCGCTACCTGCCGGGCATGCGGCAAACTAGGGCACATTGCAGCTGTGTGTCTGGGCCGACGAAAGGCACCACCTCAAGAAGAACGCCTGAAGGGTACCAGAGTCCCCAGCCAGAATAGGGTAGGTTTTTGCGCTTCGCGTAGAAACATTTGTAGGACAGGCACACACAATCCCATGAAGAAAAAGCTGTCACTCAACGTGAAGCTACAAGGGGTTCCATTATCTATGGAACTAGACACAGGGTCCGCCCTTTCCATCATTTCATTGCAGACATTTAGGAAGATTTGTTCCAGTAGTGGGACTAAGGCCAAGTTAAGGCCTTCTGATATTGTATTAACTGATTTTCAGAACTCAAGAGTGTGTGTTAAGGGGGAGGCCACCCTTAACGTGCCATACAAGAGTTTTGAAGGTCCACTAGACTTGTTAGTAGTAGGGGGTGAAAGAACGAGTCTCATAGGACTCGATTGGTTTGAGGCCCTGGGGATACACGTCACAGGACTCAACAGCTTACAAACACTCGACCTACAGGAAGTCTGCAAGGAATTTGCAGATGTTTTCAGCCCCAGCTGGGCACATTCAAAGGACCACCTGTGTCCTTAAAGCTAGACCCCACTGTCATCCCATTAGGATAAAGCAAGACGGTCCTTTTGCTTAAACAAGTAGATTGAACTGAATTAGGACAAAACTAAATATCCAACAAGGATCTAGAAACCTGTTGATTCAGCCCATGGGAGACCCCCAGTTGTCACGCCTCTAAGGCAAATGGGGACATTCGCATTTGTGCTGATTACAAATGCACACTCAATAAGGCATTGCAGCAACATGCCTATCCTGTTCCTGTGGTCAGTCACATCCTGGCCTCTCTCAAGGGGGGGCGTGTTTTTGCAAAGCTTGACCTAGCTCAAGCATATCAACAGCTGCCTGTTGATAATGATGCTGCCATAGCTCAGACTATTGTGACCCACAGGGGAGCCTTTAAGGTAAAAAGGCTGCAGTTTGGAGTGAATGTCGCTCCTGGGATTTTCCAAAGCGTAATGGAAAACACACTACGAGGTATACCAGGGGTCTGCCCCTACTTTGACGATGTCTTGATTGCAGGAGACTCCACACACATTCTAGCTGAAGGGCTTAGGGCTGTCCTGTTAAGATTCAGGAAATCAGGCCTTAAGCTCAGAAAAGACAAATGCAAGATTGGGGTGCCTTCTACTGAATTTCTGGGATTCAAAATTGATGCTGCTGGGATTCATCCTGCTGAATCCAAACTAACTCCTATTTTAGAAGCACCCAGGCCAAAGTCTAAGGCCGAACTTCAGGCCTTCTTAGGCCTCCTGAATTTCTACAATTCTTTTCTTCCACATAAAGCTAGTGTAGCTGAGCCTCTTCACAGGCTACTAGACAAACAGGCTGTGTGGCTGTGGTCACAAGCGCATGAGGCTTGCTTTAAAGACGTCAAGGCCTTGCTCACTTCTAACAGTGTTCTTGCACATTTCAACGAGTCTCTTCCTGTGTGCATCGCTTGTGATGCATCCCCCTACGGGGTTGGAGCTGTCCTGAGTCACCTCAGGTCTGATGGAACTCAGGTTCCTATTGCATACTACCCCAGAACACTGTCTTCTGCCGAGCGCAACTACGCTCAGATAGACAGGGAGGCTCTGGCTGTTGTTGCTGGAATTAAAAAATTCCACGATTTTCTATATGGCAGGCATTTCACGGTCTTCACTGACCATAAGCCTCTGCTGGAACTGTTTACCACACGTAAGCAGACTCCCCACATCATTTCCCCTAGAATGCTTAGGTGGTCTATTTTTTTGTCTGCATATGATTTTTCATTACTCCACAAGCCTGGGAAAGAAATGGGCCATGCTGATGGCCTCAGTAGGTTGCCTCTGCCAGTAGTAGAAGCTGACCCCGTGCCAGCTGTCAACATTCTCTCAATCCAAGCCTTGCCCGAGCTCCCTCTTAGTGCCAGGGATGTTACCGCTGAAACAGGTACAGATCACACACTTTCACGTGTCCGCTCCTGGGTCCTGTCCGGGTGGCCTGAGCACTGCCCTAGTCCTGAGTTTCAGAGTTTCTGGTCCAAAAGGAACGAATTGTCCCTTTCTCAGGGTTGTTTGCTTGGGGGAAACAGAGTTGTCATTCCCACCTCAATGAGGACTAGGGTCTTAGAATCCCTCCACGAGGGTCATCTGGCATTGTTCATATGAAGGCTCTTGCACGCAGCCACTTGTGGTGGCCTGCTTTAGATAAAGATATTGAGGCTAAGGTACACGCATGCCACCTGTGCCAACGATCTCGCCCAGAGATGCCCCAAGCTCCTGTGCATAGATGGGAGGAAACACAGTCCCCATGGTCTAGGGTGCACATTGACTACGCTGGGCCCTTTCAGGGCCAGTTCTTCTTGGTCCTTGTTGACAGCCATTCAAAATGGCTTGAGGTTGTGCCTGTCTCGTCCACCACCACTGCAAAGACTATTCAGGTACTGAGGGGGATTTTTGCTGCACACGGGCTGCCAGATGTCATTGTGTCTGACAACGGCCCTCAATTCACCTCCTCCGAATTCCAAGCTTTCTTAAAGGCAAACCTGATTCGTCATGCCACATCTGCGCCTTTTCACCCATCCACCAACGGTATGGCTGAACGCATGGTGCGCATCGCAAAGGACGCCTTGAAGAGACTCACCTACGGGGACTGGCATCACAGGTTGGCTGACTTTCTCCTTTCTTATCGCACCACACCGTCCACTTCTACAGGGAGAAGTCCAGCTGAACTTCGTTGGGGGCGCCAACTTACTACTAGACTTGACCGGTTGCATCCGGACAGACTGCCTTCATCTACCTCACATCCTAGGGCACCTAGACAACTACTTGTGGGTGCCCCGGTTTGGGCTCGCAATTACGGGCCGGGTCATACATGGGTCCCCGCTTCTGTGTCCAGGATCACAGGTCCTCTCTCCTACGAGGTTGCCCTGGACAACGGTCGTGTCCCGCGTCGGCACATCGACCAACTCCGCTCTAGGCGGGACTTTTCTGCTGAAACTCCTGGGTCTTTTCCAGGGGGGGAGGGGGACCCTTTGGAGCAAAGGGAAGGGCAAGAGCTACTGCCCATCGCCACTGAGGGAGCCACAAACGGCTCGTCCCAAGATTCTGCAATTGCTCCGAAAAGGAAGTCTTGGAGCTTACCCACACAACAGGCACTCACGCCTACTCCAGCCAGGGAGTTACCCCGGGGGCATACTCACTTGCCACACACAGCACACAGCACTCCAGCAACGGAGGATACCCGGGGGCATCCCAACAAATCATTCCCCGCAAGAGAGCTGGCACACAATGCCCAAGGTTGGCCTGACCTTACCCCAAATCCTACAGGGTGTCAAACATACACAGAGCTAGTCGAGGAACCAAGTCCCGACTACAACACCCCTAGCACAAATCAGGGGACACCTGAGTTTTGGGAGAGTACAGAAACCCACACGAGCCCAAACACAGAATGGGGTTCAGGGAATAGACAGCCTCCTGACAGGTCTTGGACTGACCTAGGAGGTTCTACAGAGACGCCCAGCAGCGGCTATCACTTCAAGGGGCCTGAGGGT